GTGCAGCAAGACTAGATAGATTTTACTTGTCACACGGACTTAGATCAAAGTTAATTGAAAGTGTAATTAGACCAGTTGGATTTTCTGATCATCATCTTATTACTGTGACTATTTCTTTGATGCAAAATGTTACTAGATCTCAATGGCACTTCAACAATAAATTGCTCCAAGATGTAACATTCTGTGAGAATTTTAAAATTCTATGGCAGAAGTGGAAAGAAAAAAGGAGTCGATTTGAGTCTTTAAATAAGTGGTGGGAAGTTGGAAAGGCTCAAATCAGAATTTTTTGTCAACAATATACTTCTTTTTCTTCTTTTTCTTCTTGAGTTGAGGAGGCCATAAAACAGATTGAAAATGGCCTTTTAAATGGTGGGGATGCTGAAAGCAATGACACTTTGAAAACAAAGAGAGTGGAGCTGAGTTCGTTGCTGCAAGAAAAAGTAAAAGGGGCCCTTGTGAGGTCAAGATATATTCAATTAAAGGATATGAATGCCTCAAGTACGTTTTTTTTTCAACTTGGAAAAAACTGATGTGAAAAATCAGCGCATGACATGTCTGAGATGTCCGGATGGGCATGTAACAACTGATGGAGGAGAAATGAGAAGATGCGCCATGCTTTTTTATACAGAGCTTTTTTTCTAACGACGCGCCTGGTGAACGGTAACGTTATGCTTTTGCCTCTATTTTGGATGCATTGTTTGTTTCTTGCATTTCACCTGTATGTCTTGAATATAGCCTTCAAACGCATATTGCAGCCCCTTTTGCCTACTTTTATCGGACACTTTATTTGCTGCTTTATAAAAGTTTGATAACATTTCAGCAGGATGTTGGGTTGTATGGCAAAGAACAGTGTGATGAAGAATGTGTCCAAGAACTTTTAGAAGGTCTGCCTAAACTCAGTGGAATTGAACAAACAGAACTGGATAAAGGACTAAGCCTGGAGGAACTCACTATAGCTGTTAATCAGCTGACTTCGGGGCGCTCACCCAGAATAGATGGACTCAGTATTGACTTTTTTAAACATTTTTGGGGGACTATAGGATCCGATGTTCATGAAGTCCTGATGAGCTCTTTTGAACAATGTTTACTTCCAACTTCTTGCAGAAGAGCTGTATTAACTTTACTTCCAAAAAAAGGAGATTTATCACATCTTAAGAACTGGAGGCCTGTTGCGCTTTTATGTACCGAGTATAAAGTGCTTTCTAGAGCTCTGTCCAATAGGTTGAAGCCTTATATCGGCTTGCTTGTGCACATGGATCAGACCTATTGTATTCCAGATCGGACTATAATGGACAACCTATTTTTGATAAGAGATGTGTTAGATGTGTGTAAAGTGTATGATCAAAATGTAGGACTTTTATCTTTAGACCAGGAGAAAGCGTTTGACAGAATCGATCATAGGTTTTTGTTTTCGGTCTTAAAAGCTTTTGGTTTTGGAGAGAGATTTATTGCCTGGATAAGTCTCCTCTATAATGGAGCTTCTTGCATGGTCAAAGTAGGGGGAGGACTTAGCAGACCAATTCCTGTGGAAAGAGGAATAAGGCAAGGTTGTCCTATTTCAGGACAGCTTTATTCATTAGCTATTGAACCTCTTTTGTGTTTTTTTGAGGAACAATTTGAATGGTTTTAGGTTACCAAATCACATTTTTGAGTCCCCTTTAGTTGTTTCAGCTTATGCTGATGACATCAATATATTCATTAAAAATGATGATGATGTATGTACAATTTTAAGGGCTTTGAGGTGTTATGAAAAGGCTTCTTCATCGAAAGTCAACTGGGATAAAAGTGAGGCTTTACAGGTGGGAAAGTGGGAACAGGAAAAGCTGCCTTGTTTACCTGGAGGTGTGACATGGGGGAAAAATGGCTTTAAAGTTTTGGGTATTTTTTTGGGCACACAACAATATCAAGAAAAGAACTGTGAGGGAATAATGGAGAAGGTGTCTGCAAAAATGTCCAGGTGGAAATGGTTGTTGCCCCAGATGTCATACAGAGGGCGTGTTCTTGTAATAAATAATTTGGTTGTCTCCATGCTCTGGCATAAATTTATGGTTTTAAATCCACCGGAGGCCCTGGTTAAAAGTTTACAGAGGAAACTTTTAGATTTTTTTTGGTCAGGCTGTCATTGGATTAGAGCTGCTGCCCTTTATCTGCCTCTTTGTGAGGGGGGTCAGGGACTTGTAGATTTATCTTGACGTATTGTGACGTTTAGATTAAAAACTGTACAGAGATTTCTATATGGGAATGGGTTGAGATGGCATGAAACTGCAAAGTTGCTTCTACAGAAGGCAGGGAGGCTGGGTTATAGTAAGCAACTTTTTTTGTTAAAAACTGAAGAAGTAGATTTTGGGGAATTAACATCCTTCTATTATTCAGTTTTAAATGCATTTCACATTTTGAAAACTACAAGAGATTCAACTGCATTGCCTGGAATGTGGATCTTTGAAGAGCCTCTATTTTTTAATGATTTCATTAATGTAAGGTCATTAAAGTCTTCCAGTCTACGATCAGCACTGAGAGAGGCTGGATGCACAAAGCTGGGACATCTCTTTAGAGTCATGAATACCTCTCTAGTTGGACAATTGGCCAATGTAAGATCTGAGAGATTGATTGGAAAAATAGTGGACGAGGTCTGTGAGTCACTACCACCGTCACTGAAGGCTTTTGCCAGTGAAAGAGATGTGTTGGGTCAATGGGAGGACGGGTGTGAATATGTTTTCCCATCACTTGATGTTTCTCTAACTAATTGAAGAGGGGCTCAGCATAGAAAATAGCTTTCTTTCATTCTCAACTCTACAGCTAGGTTCTTTTGAAGAGTTGGGCAAGAAACAAATGTATATCCTGTGTATAAAAATGTTTTACATGAGATCCTTGGTGGAAATGAAACCATCAAAGTGGTTTGATTATTTTGGCCCTGATCAGTCTGTGAAAGGCTGTTGGAGATCTTTGTATAAATTACCAATTGATAAGAGGACGGGAGATCTCCAATGGAGAATAACTCATGGGGCTATAGCCACTAATAAACATGTTGCCCATTTAGATCCTAGTCAAGGGGTGGAATGTCCTTTTTGTACCCAGAATGAAACTTTGGTTCATTTGTTTTGTGAATGCTGTAGGTTAGGAGAGTTGTTTCATTTATTGGAACAGTGGTGTTTACTTTGGGGAGAATGTTTTTCATTTTCTTTGTTTATTTTTGGACCAAAGTATTCTGCAAAGAAAAAACAAAAACATGTTTTGATGAATTATGTGTTTGGAGTGGCTAAACTTTCCATATGGATTTCAAGGAAACATATGATTCAGAAAAAAGGGTCAAATGAAGTCAATGGGGTCTTTTTAGGCCTATTAGCATCCCGTCTTAGAATTGAAGATGCTTATTACAAGTTGACAAACAATGTACAGTGTTTTGTTGAAAAATGGTCTGTTGCAAATGTTCTTTGTGTTGTTGGTGATGATGGAGAGATGGTTTTATCTTTTTGATAATATTTAAGTGTTTGTGAGATTGATGTTATAATGTCAATGTTTTAGGATGTTAATTAGGAATTAAAGGAGTTTTTCAATCAATCTCTCTCTCTCTCTCTCTCTCTCTCTCTCTCTCTCTCTCTCTCTCTCTCTCTCTCTCCTCTGGTGCGCAATCTAAACTCAAGCGTGCTGTGTAACCATAGTAAATTTGATCTGCTTGAACATTTTAATCGTCTTTAATACATTATTCCGAAGGATAGATTAAAATACCGGGTAATTTTTTAAAATAAATACAAAATTATTAAAATTTAATAATAATGATCAATATTTTTTTTTTTTTAAATCCGGGGCTATAAAAAAACATCCGGGGCTGAAGCCCCGAATGCCCATGTCTAACTACGCGCCTGGTGAACGGTAACGTTATGCTTTTGCCTCTATTTTGGATGCATTGTTTGTTTCTTGCATTTCACCTGTATGTCTTGAATATAGCCTTCAAACGCATATTGCAGCCCCTTTTGCCTACTTTTATCGGACACTTTATTTGCTGCTTTATAAAAGTTTGATAACATTTCAGCAGGATGAGCTGTTACAGCATAAGCCATGCAGAGCGCAGATGAAGTTTGGCGGATGTAGCAACAGTAACTAAGGTGGGCAGGGCTTAGCCAAAGGTGAATTCTTAAACAACATGAATGTGGAAGTTGCCAGTCACTCACAGTTATAGAACTGAATCCCTGATCAAAGTAAAAAAAAAATTTTTCACTAATGATGTTTAAAGATTTTGCGGTAACACTTTACTTGAAGGGGTGTGCATAAGACTGACATGACACCTTCATAACCATGACATGACATATGTCTTGAATATGAAGTGGGGTTTATGCATGTTTATGACAACTGTCATTGAGTGTCTTTGACAGTTGAGTCTTTTGAGTCTTTGACGGCTCAATAATGACATTTTGAATGCAAATATGACATTGTTTAAGATGTCTTTGTCATGACAACTTGATATAAAATTAAGTTAAACTGTCATGTGGTTGGCTTTGACATTGACTGTCATGAGGCATTAGAACCGTGTCATGAATATTTTCCATAACCACAGTGGTACTAATTGAATTTGTCATTAAAAAGTTGCTTCATGAATGGCTTCATGACAGCCAATGTCAAACCCAACCACCTGACAGTTTATTGTAATGTTAACCAATAAAGCTAGGTAGTTTCTTAAGTTTTATAATTACTCTGCTATGTCATGTTTATGACAGGTTGTGTTGTCTTAGTAATGTCAAGATGTCATGACAAAGACTGACAGGTTATGATGGATTGGTTTATGTCAAGGTGTCATAACAAAGACATCTCAAACAATGTCATATTTGCATTAAAAGTGTCATAACTGAGCGAATGACACTTAATGACAGTTGTCACAAACTTGCATAAAACCTTCATATTATTAATATTTGTCATGTCATGATTATCAAGGTGTCATGTTAGTCTTATCCACACCCCTTCAGGTGAAGTGTTACCAATTATGTATTCCTTGCTTTCTAAACCAGACGGCAGGCAAAGTATGCAACCTGTAGTGAGAATCACGGGATCCGTCCACCAGCTCCTGAGCAGTATCTCACCCCACTGCAGCAGAAGGAAGTGTGTATTCGTCACTTACGAGCACGGCTGAAGGAAAATGTGGAGAAGCTTCAGGACCGGTTAGTAGGGCTTCTATCTTTCAACAGGTCACTGGAGTTTTACAGCTTCCTGCCATTCTAGCAGTACAAGATCATGTCCTGTGAATCATTCATGCACAAACAAACAGTTTCGCTATCTTTGTGGGGACTCTCCATAGGCATAATGTTTTTTATACCGTACAAACCGTATATTTTATCCACATAAATTAACCCTAACCCTAAACCTATCCATCACAGAAAACTTGGCCAAATGTTCAAATAACCTTCATTTAGTATGTTTACTAATCCATTTCCCTTGTGGTGAATTTTAGTCCCCACAATGTAGGTTAAACAAGTACACACACACACACACACACACACACACACATATATATATATAGCAGAACCTACCCAGTGTCCTACTTCCCTACTATATGGTATTTAGAAAACAGTTGTTGAAAAGTACCTGAATAAGCAACAACTTCTGCCGAGATTCTGAAGTTTAAATCTGATGAACACTTTATTATCCCACAAGGCCACAGGAGTGCAGTTGTGAATGACAGTGAAGCACATGACAGCAGTAGTACACCCTGATTGTATTCATACTACCCAAACTCCAGTGGTGGAGGAAGTACTGAATCTCAGTACTTAAGTAAAAGTACAAATACCCAGATAAATATTTACTTTAGTAAAAGTAGAAGTAACACAATGACAACCATACGTAAGTAAAAAGTACTTTATTTTAAATGTACTTTAAGTATTAAAAGTAAAAGTACTTGCATAACAATTTATTATCTTAATGTCTATTTTCTAATGATTAATAAAACATTTAATTCTAACTCATTCAACCTAATAGCCTACTCCTATAATGATGTTCAATAATGATGGAAAAAAATGTCACCATTTCTGAAACAAGCTTGTAATTAGGCAATATACACATCATGCTTATCCTTACTATGTGTTAATAACTATGTTTGGCAGTAAACGAGATTCATTTATGGTGTAATTCTGAACCTCTTGGCTTGCCATAATCCTAACCAAACCAAACATATATTACACACGGTGTGTTTCCTATGCACGTAAAAACAAATTTTCGCGTATGAGTTGCACGATAAACCAACGCGAGAACGGGCTCGATAAACACACTGCGTGCGAGACGCATTTAGTGTGACCGGGTTGATGTACTGTATCTATGGCAACCAAACGTCCCTGGTGAGACAAACGTGCAACGAACGGACGGTCAGATTACGTTTTGGCAGGAGAAAAACTGATCAGAAAATGTAACAGAAGTTGTAGAAATGTAGTGGAGTAGAAAGTAGAATAATTGCTGCAAAATGTAACGAAGTAAAAGTAAAAAGTAGGCTCTATTTATTGTACTTAAGTAAAGTAAAGATACGTGAAAAATGTACTTAAGTAAAGTAACGAAGTATTTGTACTTCGTTACATTCCACCACTGCCAAACTCATACTATATTGAACTTTTTTTTAATGCACACGAAGTAAGTTTCAAACCAAATGCAGGACCTACTAAACCATGTGCAATTTCGAATGCAGCATTACATTTATTACTTATACCCTTGTTTTTTTGTACCACGGCAGAGACTCTGAGGTCGAGGAGTTACGGATTCAGCTGACTAGGATGCAGGAGGACTGGATAGAGGAGGAATGTCACCGCGTAGAGGCTCAGCTGGCCCTGAAAAAGGCCCGGAAGGAGATCCGGCAGCTTCAGGAGGCTGTTGACACAGTTAAGTCCAACCTGGGGACAGAGGCAGATCAACAGGACTGCAAGTCTGAAGGTCTAGGTGTCGGTAGGATAAACCAACGGTTTGGGGCATCAAGGTCTTGTGGCTGCTCTCCAGCCCACACCATGAGTCGCAGCGCCACCTTCACCAGGCTGAGCAGTGATACGTCACCTGGCGCTACAGACCGCAATGGAAATGTATGTTCTGATCGCTACATTCCCGCCAACAGAGGGGCAATGACGTTACCGAGAGGTGACGGGCGTACCCATCTACTTCTGGAAGCAGCGTTACTGTCTGAACAAGTCCCTCACGCAAGGCTATGCTCCACTTTGTCGCGATCCTCAACCTGCGAGAGATTGTGTAGCGGAGAGACGGTGTTGCCCGTTAGCCGGTCCTGTCATGCCGTTAATAACAACTGTAGCTGTGGACCACATGCCTACCTCCAACACCACCATCTGTTTCTGCACCTCCCACAGGAGGAAGCACCACCACCACCTCCTCCTCCAACAGCACCCCCTAGTGCATCCGAAGTGAGTGACAGGCCAGGGTACCGGTCGCAGGCCTGTAGCCCCACCATAACCTGGATCTCCGAAGAGGGCGGAGGAGAGGAATTGAGCGTCATCACTTCAGCAACGTGCGCACCAGACGTCACTTTAGCTGAGCCGCTGGTGTTTTCACCATCCTCCGCCACTACTTCACCCGCTCAGATGTCTTGCATCACGGAAACTTTACCGCTAGACAGCACAGTTGAATTTACATCATCAACAGTGCTAACCAAGCCACAGGTTCAGCAACCGTGTCCCAGAGCGCCACCACCTCTCGAGCTGCCGCCACTGGAAACAACGGTAGTAAAAGTCAATGACGAAGATGTAGTGGGGGAGGATGAAGAATCAACTCCCCCTCAGAGGAGTCACTGGAGCCGCTATTTCCTCATCGATCTCCTAGCGGTGGCCGTTCCCGTAGTTCCGACACTGGCGTGGCTTTGCCGAGGGCCCCGGAATGAAGGCATGCCGATGTACAACATGAGCTCCCTGTTGCGCGGATGCTGCGCCGTCGCGCTTCACTCTCTCAGACGGGTTGGCAGTGGCTGTGGTCGCGTTCCCTCGGGAACAGGAAACGCGACACCTATCTGATAACTTGAACATTGCAGTACCATCACAAACTTTGAACTGGACCTTGTGTGAACTCTTTCTCCTTGATCTCCCAGTCTTCAATATCTTTGAACCGAGGAGGCGTAAATCTGTTCTTGATTCAAATGCGTTTTTTACACAAAGATGGAGGGAATGTTGCCCTTATTGCGCGGACACTCAGAAGTTTCAAGGCTCATTTCCACCATTTGTTTACCTTTTCCTTCTCCTTCTGGTTCTCTTATCTGCTTTATTTCCTCCCTTTCCTGGCTGAAACTCAAACAGGCAGTACACAGTCAAGAGTAACTGCAAACAGCAATGATCAGAGTCCAAGCTACACAATGTACAGAAGTTTAGGCCTTTTAAGCACAGATTTAAAAATAATAATAATTAAATGCCTCAAGGGTTATTTTTATTCTGTTCATCCATTGAAAATTGTAGTACTGAAATACTGACCTTGGTCCATCATTGTCAGTTTCAGAAAATTTGCAACATCCCCCTATGGGATTTTAGTGGTATGATATTTACTCACTGACATTAATGTAAATAATGTGAAATATTCTTATGTAAACTGTTCTATCGAACTGAAGTCATTCTGCTCATGTTTCATGAATGAGGCCCATTTACCGGTACAGGAAAACTTGTAACTTTAGGTAGGTTAAAAATTTCAAGCCTATTGCTCAAACAAATTAGTAAGGCTAGGCTTTCAAATTAGAAACCTTTACACACCTGTTGCTAAGCAACTATTGTGCCAATCCATCTTATTTCATAAAATATGAACACATAAAGCAATAGGCATCCAGAAACTGTTTGGATCTCTAAAAATGCTTCACTCATTCACATAAAAATGCCTAAACTAATGTGGTGTTTTGTGGATCACTACTCTGATGTCATTCTTGACATATCTACTGAAGTTATGTTTCATCAGTTTCACAACTTCATCTATGAGCAAAGGGAATTTAGAAACTGTTTGGTGCATTTGCATAATATTTATGGATTCATTTGAATTGTATCACATTATTTGCTAAATATGCCAAATTTTATTGATAAAGCAATGGAAGGTGACGACAAGATGACTTAATTAAGTCATTGGTTGTTAGATTTTCAGTTCTTTTAAACTCAGTCTCAGGTGGAACTCAGGTGAATAGTACTAGAGAGGATGCAAAATTAGTCAAGACCCATGCCAAAACATTCATTCATTAGAAACACAAAGGTTTATAAATAACAATAGTTGTGAACATGTACATTTACTGTCATAAATGTCTTGTTTTTAGATTTTTTGATCAATGCATCGCTTCAAAACCAATGAGTCTAACTATTGCATGCGTCCAGATTTCAGTAATGCAATTATGTAACTAATTCATGGCTTTGTAAAACAAAGTCTTCGGTTTATTTGAAGTAAAACAAAAGAACAAAACTGAGTAATCATGGCATTCCAGTAGGTTATTGTAAGGGCTTAGTATGCATGTTAGCACAAGAATTCCTCATAGTTAACGATCAATAAACTTATAGATTATATTGCAAGTAGACATTTGAATAAACTCATGATTTGATCAGCAATGTTGCAAAGTATGATTGTGTATTTAGACAGAGCCCATCAACACTCGATCCTAATTGTAAATTTGGATTGTTTGGTTCAATTGCACCTTGACAATAAAAGTGTTTCATTAAAATGACGGCTTCTGTTGTGCTAATTATGTTTCTTATTTTTTATTTGCAGTGTCGTAGTCTTTCCTCAAATAAAGCGGATGCTGTGATAAAACAATTAACAGTTACGTGGAATTGGGATTTTGACCAATGAGTAAAATACATAATACTTGCATTAAAAAATACATTTGACATGATTATGCAAACACACCATTCCAGTTTCCCAATCAACACATCAGAGACCAGCTCACTGTTTTATAAACAATTTATTTTCAAGTAGTTTATTTTATACTTAACAGATTTCCCCACCAGAGTACTTATTACCAGCTCAGCCAAAACCCTGTTGCTGTGATTGCGTTTACAACACAGAAATCAAATATAAAAAGAGAGAAGGGGGGGAAAAAAAGAAACTTGTGTCTCAGTGAACTTCCAATGATTGAGAGTATACCAGTGATTATGTCAAGCAGAAAAGAAATAAAAAGGCAACAAAATATACAAATGCAAAACAGAGCTAAGCTAAGTGGTATCGCTATTAACACTACCCCTTTTGAGGATCACATGCATGGAGCAATGTTCCTTAAAAAGGTTGACCTGGAAGAAAACAAAGAGAGAGGTTTATTAAACAACTGAACCGTGTTCCTTAAAGGCCATTAATACGATTACAAGGGTTTAATCGAAGAGCCTGTTAAATAAACTCTACAGGACAGTTAAGACCAAGACTAGAATAATCTCCTTTAAAGATTATCTGTTAGTTATTAAAGTCATCCATGCATGATGTAACTGGATGGACTGACTTCAAGGTGTTTTTCCATTAATTGTGTGTTTTAAAAACTTAGTGACAATAACAAATTAACGCAAAAAAAAAAAAAAAATGTGGAAAACTTTGCACATACCCTGAAAGAATGAATAGGGAATAACCTGAGTCCAAGTGTGGGGGCTTTATTCCAAGCCAATCAGCTCCACATCGAATATGAGCGTGGCGTTGGGGGGAATGATGCCCGGGTGCCCCTTGCTCCCATAAGCAAAGTCCGGAGTGCAAGTCAGCTTGGCACGCTGCCCGACACTCATCTGTTACAAAAGGTCATTTGGCCAAATTAGGTCCAGTACGATACAATACATGGAGGTTAAATAAGTGATGAGGGTTTGTTATCAAAACCCTGCTAGACAATGTATGTGTATTTGTCTGATGAAGAAAAAGGGATAGAGACCTACTTTATAAACACACAGTTACAAACAGCTTAATATTGCAAATCAAATCAATTTTGATTTCATGAAGAATTTACATTTACCTGGGCTACTCCCTCATCCCAACCACGGATCACTTCCTGTTTGCCAATTTTGAATTTGAAAGGCTTTCCCCGGTCCCGGGAAGAGTCGAACTTGCGTCCATCTGTCAGAGAGCCTGAGAGAGAAAACAAATGGGAATATTTTAAACATATGAATCATGCAAAGAAAACATACGTTCAACACCCCAAATCATGTTTAAGATTAAAACCTATTATGGCTTTTATTTATTCGTAACATTCAACAAAATGAGTGTCCACAGTTCGTGCGAATCACAATATGTTTGACAGTTATGGGCGCGTTCATATCGAAGCATTATGAAAAGCATATCGAACCGATTCGAATTGACGCATTTTTTAGCACCACAGCTGGAGAAAATTAAAAACGCTCGAATGTGATGTTCAGACCGAATCTCCTAAAACGTTTTGCTGAATGGACAGCCCTCTATTTTTACCACAACCCATCTCATCATAAAAGACGGCAATAAAGCCACCGTATATCCGCAAAAACAGGCCACGGTTTCCAAATCCAGCGCTGTGTTAAAAAGTCGCGTAAAATGAACTTTTCCTTTTCAGTTAAAGGAACGATCAAAGACGTGGAAAACATTAAGGCCCATTAAAATATAAAAAATGTAAAGCCTTGACCGGATCGCGGATGCTTAAGTATCTATTGTCAATGCGGCTAACAGCTAACTTAAAGCTGGCTAACACCCTTCAGGGATTCATCAACACGATCACTTGTGAACTTACCCACGTAGTGCACGACACAGGTCTGTCCTTTTTTAGGGAAAGTACTTCCTAAAAATCCAAAACAAGAAGAGAAAACGATTAAAATCGCCCGTCAAATCCTGTGGGAAGAAGCTAGTGGTTAGCTAGCAGGCTAACGCCCGTGATGCCAAATACAGGCAGAATAAATCGATTTAAAATTCCATTCATTTGATATATTTAAGCATTGTGTTTTTTGAATGGTCGATGTTATCCCATATGTGATGCATTTTACCGTCTCCAGGAGTAATGGTTTCAACCTCGACTCCCATCCTGTCTGCCTGTTTTGACTCCTGAAGCTCTGCACACAAAATGCGCTTCAGTAATTCAGTAATTGTGATTGAGGGCAGAAAACCCCCTGTGTGCGCCACACTAGAGCATTAGCGCCCCCAGCGGCCGAACAGCGCTCTACATCTTGCCGTCCATCAACCTCACCACCGTCACCACCGTTTTTCAACCATGCTAACTTGGTATTAGCCCACACAAATAAAGTATTAACACGTTATGATTATTTAGCAAAAGTAGTAACACGTAACTGATATAAACATTTTAAGGTCATATTATAAAATAATTACCCTACCTGATTTAAGTAGGCCTATAAGTATGCTACCCATATGGCATCATAGGAAACTGTCATTTAATAGGCCCTATCTACCCTAACAAAATGAGTTAGTCTACATCAGGAGGATAACAATATTGACAAAGAATATAAAATAACTTAAAAGGAACTTTAATATTAATTTGTTAGGCAAGTTGTGTGTGTGTTCTATTCAGAATTAATTTGGAAAAAGTAGCAAAGCTGTGTAATGACATTCAAATGCATTTACCGCTGTATGTGTATCTTCATTTATACATTTAATTTTTCATTACACAACAGTGTACACAAGACTAGTGCTGATATTTAATTAAAATTCTTAATAGATTATCCAACTCCGTCCACCGTATACCAAACCACACCTGTTACAACAGGTAGCCTATGTCATTTTTATAGCTTTTTTCGCTTCATTATTCATTTTGAATTCATTTTGTTTCCCCCAGCTTTTAAAGTATATTTTAATTAGGAAACTATGCCAAACTATTGCGTGTTCCAGACGAGCAGCAGGATTAGTGATGAGGCATTTTCAGTTACTCTTTTTGCAGGTTAACGTTGACTGTCCATATATGAATAAATTTACTCAATCGATTCATTCAAAACACTGATTCATTCAGGAACTTCACTGTGTTTCTCAGTAAGCAACTTGGTTCTGCTGTGACTTTGTTTGCAACAGACAAAGTGGCAATAGTTTGTCTACAATGTAAATTACTTATTGGCTATCTAGGCTACTAAATATCAGAACTGCTGTGATAATAGACACCATCATGCCTACAAACGAATCACAGTGCTAATATTCAGAATAACAGCACTCTTGTTTGTGTTATATTATTTTAGAAAAAATATATACAAAATATAGCCTAGGAGATGAGCAAACAAGGAGGATGAAGAAGAAAAACAGGCTAAAGAGTAAGAAAACTAGCTTGTTTTTGTACGTTTGTGAGAGGTATTTTTGTTCAATTTGAAGGTATTTCTTTTAGTTAATTAATATTTATATATTTATTTTTCTAATACAGAAGAGACATTATTTTTTATTCATTATTTTATTCATTATTTTTAAACATGTCATAATAAAACATATTGAGTATCCTCAGAAGCCTAGACTATATGAATTTGTGTCTTAATATAACAATTTTCTGTCCACAGAGGGGGCATAGCCTATTGTATTGAAATTAATAAGGCATCTTTGAGTAAACTTCGAGTATCATTTGTTTTCTGGGCCATGTGTCCTTTTGGTAATCAAAATATGTTCTCCATATGCAGCAACTTTTATTAAAATAAAAGTTTTGCCAGCTTGCGATTCTCTTTACAAACTTGAATGGACGCATGCTCGTTTAAACACAATTTAAACAACGAATGCATACAATTCATTCCTTATATATTAAGAAGTATGTCTTAAAGTAAAAATATGAAACAATTAAATACATTTATGGAGAGGTTACTACATTTTATTGAATTAAATGCATTCATGAAACTACTACATTTCGAGGTCAATCTGAGTTCATTTTGACCATGAACCGTGCGCTGTCACTTTATTTCTGCGTTTGCAGCACAGCAGAAATAGACTCGGTACGGAAACGATCTCTGCACTGCTGTATACGCACCGCAACTGGAACGGACCGACGGACTGCATCTGCGTGCAGTGTGAAAATTCTAACCTGTTAACATGGGTACGGAAAAAAATACGGACCGCATACGCACTGCAAACGGAGTATGTGTGAAACGGGCGTCAGGCACACCTGTGCAATAATCATGCTGTCTAATCAGTATCTTGGCATGCCACACCTGTGAGGTGGATGGATTATCTCGGCAAAGGAGAAGTGCTCACTAACACAGATTTAGACAGACTTACAGAGAAATAGGCCTTTTGTGTGCATAGAAAAGTCTTAGATCTTTGAGTTCAGCTCATGAGAATTGGAGGCAAAAACAAAAGTGTTGCGTTTTTAATTTTGTTCAGTGTTTGTTGTTGTGATGATATTGGGTAAGCTCTAGATTTATGAAATTGGTTTGTTGACGTTAAATTCAACATCCTGACATGTAAATCAGCACTTGTGTTTCAGTGTTTTTGATGAGATGATTCTGAAGAATTTCTTTCTTGAGAGAGATTTGTTTGCATAAAGATGTAATGTTATTCTAGGCTTTGATTTGAAGATGAAACTCTGACTGGACCCATAGATTTGTTAACTTGTGGCACTTTGTGGAAGTGTGGCACTGTTAGACCCCAAAAAAGTAAAGAAAACATTAATAAATCTTATCAGATTTACTCCGCTAACAGGTAACGTTCTCAGAACTTAAACATTCTGGCAAGGTTCACTGAAAGTTTTAAACATTCTTCCAGTAATGTAAATAGTATGTCTGTTTAGAGTTACCTGGTATTTAATAATGTTCT